AGCCCTCTGTTGGTGCAGCCCAGGGTGCTGCTGGCCTCCCGGGCTGCGGGCGCACACTGCTGCTCGTGTGCAGCTCTGTGCCCACCAGGACCCCCACGTCCTTCTCTGCATGGCTGCTCTTAAGTTCTTCCATCTGTACTCATATCTGGCATTGCCCCGACCCATTTTCAGCACCTCACACTTGGCCTTGTTGAGCCTCATTGAGGAGCACTGATCCCAGGATGGACCCCCAGGGGTCACTGCTCGTCGCTGGCCTCTACCTGGACATAGAGCTGCTGACTACAGCCCTCTGGTTCTGACCATCCAACCAATTTCTTATCCACCAAATAGTCCACCATTCACATCCGTAGCTCTCCAGTTTAGAGATAAGGATGCAGTGTTGGACCTTACCAGAGGCCTTGCAGATGTAGTGTAGTCACTGCATTACCTTCAGTCAGACACTGATGGTAAACTGCCTCCCATGCAGGAAGGGAAGAGGTGAGGCTGCTGTTTGAATAAGGGAAGGTGAGCTCTACTGTCAGGAGTACAGCGTGTACAAAATGAAGTGGCAGTTTCACCATGCTGAAGTTGAAAGCCATGGCAATCCATAGCAGTGTTGGATATCTGTTGATATTTTGTCAGCTGCTTTCTAATTCCTCCTAATGAGGCAGAGGAGGTACTCTAGAATGTCATGACTCTCCTCATTTCTGTTTCAAGCCATCAGCTGTTCCAGTGAATCTTAGTATGATAATAATGGTGTAAAATAATTTCCTTAACTGTTCCAAAGCCAATGAGCATTTTGAAAGAATTCCATTTACGTGAAGCAAAGAGAGATCTCATTGGGACCCAGTGGCAATCCAAAGGCACAACAGGAGGCAGTTAGCTTCCCACCACCCCATATCCTTAGCACAGAGAAGTGAAGTTTCTCATTAGTTAAAAGACTGATGTGATAAACAATTTATTATAAAGACAGATGAAACTGCGTTTCACTGTGAGCTACAAAGGTGGATGGATGAAACTTTTTTTCACTTTGAAATCACAGTCTGCTGGGATTGCTTGTGAACACGCTCAGCAGTAGGCAGTGACAAAGTGTGACAGACTGAAGTCTGAGGTGACATAATCCAGGAATGCAACAGAGATTTGGGTGCTGTGTGTTCCCAGTCTGGAGCTCAGTCCTGGGAAGAGATTGATTTTGTGACTGATAGAAGCTGGAAACCCAAATCTGGCTCCAGGACTGCTGAAATGGATTTAGTCCAGGATCCAAAGTCTGTAAAAGTCGGTTAAGAGACACTCATGGACTTTGGATAAGGCTTTCAGTAGGGCTTCTGGGGCAAGCCTTACCCGCACTTCTGATTCATTTGCTTTTGAGAAAGGAATCCTTGATGCTGGTCTCTTTGGCTGTGTGTGCTTGTACATTCCATAACAATAAAGCAATAAAAGCCAGGTTGCAAGAATGCGAGGTAGGCTTAGCAATCCCAGCATGGAGAATACAAATAAACATCACTTCCTGGTCTCTGTCCTCTTTGTTTCTGACACTTTCAGTTACTCTCACTTCACACTTTCACATTGTTTTCCATAGCTGAGCGTAATTGAAACCTCCTGCTTGCTTTGGTGAGGCTGCTTTCTGGGGGGAGAGGTTTGTGAGCATGCTGCTCGGGCCCTGAGGAGCTGGGTGCAGCAGGGTGGGATGGCACGCTGCGAGGGAGGCTGCTGCTCATCCCTGCTGGTGCTGGGCCCAGCGCCCTGCTCCCGTTCTGCAGCAATAGCTGGCCCTGTCTGAGCAATCTGCAGCTCCTGGTGTGGTGTTTTGTAGTGTGAGGAAGCAGAGCTGTGAGCAGTGCTGGCTGTGCCTCCCCACCTGCGCCATCATGGCCATGGGACATTTGCTAGGTGCTCTGCTTCACAGCGCACGTGTTGTTCAACGCACGTGTTATGTGTGAGCTAAAACACTCCTGCCTGGCACTAGTCTCCAAACCAAGGGCTTAACATAAAATAGAAAGAGCCAGGAAAATGCTCAGAGGGCTGCAGCGCTTTTCCTGTGAGGACAGGCGAGGAGCTGGGGGCATTCAGCCTGGAGAGGAGAGGGCTGCAGGGAGACCTGTGGCCTTCCAGCATCTGAAGGGAGCTTACAAGCAGGAGGGACACCAACTTAATACCTGGTGACAGGACTAGGGCGAATGGCTTTAAACTAACAGAGGGGAGATTTAGGTTAGATGTGAGGGGGAAATGCTTTCTGCAGAGAGCAGTGAGGCCCCGGCACGTATCCAGAGCTGTGGGTGCCCATCTCTGGAGGCACTCAAGGCTGGGTTGGATAGGCCAGGGCCAAACTGAGCTGGTGTGGGCAACCCTGCCTGTGGGAGGGGGTGGGAAGTGGGTGATCTTTGAGGTCCCTTCCAACCAAAGCCATTCAGTGACTCTGACAATGTCTCTGGTGGAGCAGTTTGGCAGCAATTTGCAGAAGTGTTTTTCTTCAACTGTTCTGTTGCTGTATGAGGAATGCACTGAACCAAGCAGAAGACATCCGTCACAGCCATTACCTACTAATATGGTGTTATTCCCCACTGGAAACTGGTGGGAACGCACTGTGAGATGGAAGACATAAAGCTATGCCCTCCCTCAGGTCACTGCTGACTTAGGCCAAAGTTGAGCTGGGATGAGTAATTTTGATATTTAAACAGAATTTGCTCTATTTCACTTTATGCCTATTGCCTCTTATCACAGCATCAAAAAGAGTCTGGCACTATTGACCTCCATGTAGGTATATTAATACAAAAAGCACAGGCAATTAAAGTAACCTTTAAGAAAGAGTAGGCAGTAGATTGAAAACACCAAATTTCAGAAGAGTTACATTTGTTTGTTTCATGCTGGTGCTTTGCCTGGCAATATCTGGTGTGTTTCTGTATGTGCTGTGTATGGGCCAGCACATGCATATATTCAACTCTGGGGAGAATTAATGGTATGGAGGGAAATCAATTGGTTAGACATTCAGTTAGACTAGTCCAGACTCTCTGGATGGTCAGCGGAGATACTGGTTTTCCATAGGCATTTCTTTATGGTCAGCAGTGTCCAGGGGAGCTCCTGGGGGTGCCCCATCTCCACTGGTCAGTGGAAGGGCCCAGGTCGTGTGAGCTGCATGTGATGGATGGATCCCAGCTGAAGCGCCCACAGAGGGGCCGTGTGTCTCCAGAGCTGCACCAGTACCCCCTGCAGTTGGTTTGAGAGGTGCTTCTGGTGTGGTGATCACTGCAGTCCTGGAGTTTAACGAGCAAATGCAGCAGATGGCTGTGGGGAACAGAAGCTTGTAGGGTATGTGGCTACGTGGCGGGATGGCTGCCCTCGAGCCGGGCTCCTTTAGGGAAAAGGCTCTTCCTTGCAGTGTGGCTGGTGCTCCAGCAGAGCACCTTTGGCACTCAGGCTGTGTCTGCGGGATAGACCTGGCCCATAGCTGTCCTGCAGCCCATGGCAGCCCTGTGCCCCAGAGCATGAGAGCATCTGGCGTGGGCCTGTTCTTGGGGCAGCCGGCCAGGCATGTTGTGTGCTGTTTAAAAGCTGCTCTAGATCTATGAACGTGACCACACAACACTGTGGCTTCATTTGGGTTCCCTGCCCCCCAAAAGACAGTCCTTCTGGAATCCTATACAGTGACATTTAAAAGGGAGTGTAACAGAAGTCTTGTCAGAGCTCCGGGAATCTGCCCAGGCACCTTCATGTCGGTTACTGTAGGCGCTCTCTCAGGAGAAGCCATGGCTTGCAGGTAGGGAAATGCTTCTTCTTTGCCCAACTGCTGAACAGAGCCAAATTCTTCAGAATCCTGGAGTGTGAACTTGCTGTATCAGAGGGTTGTGTACTGCGACACACTGCAGACGAATACAATCCTTTTGTTTTCTGGGAGGCTGATGGGGAAAGCTATGCTTAGGTTAAAAATATTTGCTCCACTTCTGCTATCTCCTTCCACTGTACATTTAATTTTGGCTGAAAACCTTAAAGAAAGTGAAGGCCCTTTGCTGTTACAAGATGCTGAGGTTAATTCTGACCCTAAGATCACACTCTACAGCTGCTTGCACTTAGCAGCTTAGTGTGTAATGCTACAAAAAGTGACCTTCGCAGTGCCTGGTAAGAGTATAAACCTTTGGATCTCCCCCCTCAGAGTGACGTGTGCCTAATGCTCAACGTGGGATGGATGTTTCTGAAGTTACGTATCATCTTTTGAAGACCAGGGGTCTGTTACTCTGAGCACATCTGGATGCACTGCTTGCTCTGTGTAATGTCCTGCTAGATGGTGCCTTCTTCATACTGCTGCAAACAAAAGCTGAAATGCTGATGTACCTTTAGCCTGTTGTACAGTGACTTAAATCACTTGTTGTTATTCTTGCTACATGTGTATTTTTCTAAGCACTTGTGTTCCACCAGCACACTCAGAGTGAGTACTCTCAAGGGGGAATTTCCTTCCTGATAAACAATTCTGCAGTGTGATTCAGCAGGAAGGATGTTGTGGTTAACGCACTGGATTGGGATTTGGGAGACATGGGTTCTGTTCCCAACTCTACCACAATCAAGATGTGATGAGTAGAAGGGCAAGCAAACAAAGAGGAGGAGCTGTTTGACTGTGGCAAAAACATGCTTTCATGTTCACTGTCCACTTTGGAGGTTAGTTAGGTCTGTTTTTTGGTTGTCTCAATCAAGTAAACAGTGATAAAGACTCCTGTTGGTGCAATTGAAAACTGAAATCTAATCTTGTGCTATTCCAGGAACCAGATGTAGTTTTAACTGTATGCAGTGACTTTCATGAGGTTTCACATGCCAGTGTTTGGTGACTTTTTAGTTGACTTTACCAATTCCCTGCTCACTTCTTTGATCTCCAGGCAATGTACTGTGATTTCTGTGAGAAGCCATGAACTCACATAGTTTGTCCACTACCTTGGTTACGCAGAAAGGCTGTGCACCATACACACGATATTTCCTTTGCCACGCAGGGTTCAGTTCCTACAGTTTGATCATAACACTGCCTTCCTCTTTTTCAGAAGCAAGAGCTTGGCCCACCAGCTCCGAGCTGAAGGCCATTAACCTCAGCATCGTAATTCGGTGCCAACTGTGGGAGGATGAGTCAAGAGGGCAACTCAAGTGATCGGCCTGCTGGTGAGTTTTCTGCTCCTCTCGACATTTACCTGTCCTTTTTGGCATTTGGCATCGTTTCTTTTCCATTTGCTATTGGAGGAGAATGCTGAGTCACAAGCAGAGCAAAAGCGTTGAATTCAGTGCCACACTGCACGCCATGCAGGTGGTCGGATCTCGGAGGTTTGGTGGGTGCACAGCTAGATATCAGTGTTTATTTGTATCCCAGGTTGAAAATGTTTACAATTGCTCAGTAACTTCCCACAAATTCAGAAGTGTGTACCATTTTTATTACTGTATTACACAGCTCATTCACATTTTATCTGTAATTCAGTTTTCTCTTGAATTTCTTCTGTAATTGCTTTATAAAGTAAGACCAAGGGAAGATGCACACACATACTGTTGTCATGTCCCACAAAGTTTTGGTGTCTGGGTCCTTGGTGCAGAGACTGAATGGACAGGAATTCATTATTTTGGCTCAGTCCTGCCAAAAATTTCCTTTCTTCTTCCATCCCCATCTTTGGTTACTGGAATTCAGTATCATCTGGTTCTTCTGGCAGTTTCTGCAAAGAACTGCCTGGGAGACACGTAAGCCAGAAGCTGTGCCTGACAGCCTCCCAGGCTCAGCTGTGTGCTTTTTTGGATGTGTAAAGGGGCATTCTTGTTTCTGACGTGAGGGCTATTTTTTGACAGTTTCCATTGTTCCCCACTCTTTGTTAATGGGGAAGGTCTTTAGTCTGATTCCTTTTTCAGAATAGAGACTGTTATGGGAGCTGTCTGCTCACAAGTTTGGGGGATTTCTTGCTTGCTTGCTTTCTTGCTTTCTTGCTTGCTTTTGCTTTTGTTCTTTCTTTTTTCTTTTTCTTTTTCTTTTTCTTTTTCTTTTTCTTTTTCTTTTTCTTTCTTTTTCTTTTTCTTTTCCTTTTCCTTTTCCTTTTCCTTTTTCTCTGGTCAAGACGGTTTCTTTCTCCCTGTTTAGACTTGCTCAAGCAAACCCATCCAGACTGTGTCTACCTGGAGGGATTGTTGGAATATCCCCTTACTGGTACAGCAGAGAGAGCTGTCCTCATGGTTGCCACCCTTCTGCCACACTGTTTTGCTGTCACTGTCCATATGTGTGTAGGCAGAGCAAATTGTTGAGTTGGGATTCTGAACACTGAAGATCTTGTCTGTGGAATTGAATCTGAGAATTCAAGGGTGGAAATATTTTAAGCAATTCTTTTGGTAGCTTGGAAGAAAAGGGGATCTTTTGTTGTTCATTTCTGCACTGCCCAGCTGGCCGTGGGGATGAGAAGAAAGAATCTCTCTTCTTTAGAACTCTGACATGCTTTTACTGCTGTGAATGTGTCTCGATTGCACATCAGGATGTCGTGCACATTCATGAGTCATGCACAGAAGGACTTCAGGCAGGATCTTTGGAAAAAGGCCTTTGAGGGAAGACGCCATAACACAAGCCTTCCTGGGAGCTCAAGAGAGAGGTGTGGGTCATCCAGTCAAAACATTCACAGATTGCTTATTGCAACATTATTTTGGGAGAAATAATAGATGTTCTGAGTTTAGATCTGCTCTCTAAGAAACAGGCGCTAGAACGAAGCTGTCAGCAGGGACACACTGCCAGCCTACGTCAGTGTATTTTAAGCCTTCTACTGGAGTGCTTACTACCTGTTACTCTTGCAGTCAAAGTTCTGGGTTACACAGGTCTGATCAACTGATGATTTACGTTTTGGCTGGAGATAGGGATCTTGACATTTGGGTCTGTGTGCTCAGCTTCCAGCACCAGGCTTCTGTAGCCTCCTAAGTTTTCCATTGTCAATTCATTTCATTATCTAAGCCTTGCTAGCAATGTAGCTATAGTTAGAGAGGAAGGATATTATAATCTTGTGAAAGATTAAAATATTTTTACTGTAATCCAGCTGGAAGGGCAGCACTTTTCTCAGGATAGGAGACAGCCAAGGCTTTTCCCATTCTGTCCAGCCCTTGTACAGAGGAAGGAAGTGCTGGCAAGGGCCTCCCCAGCTTCCTGTCGACTTCGGAGCACATTTCCAGACACAACCTTCTCCGCCATCCATCACCCAGCCCAGGCAAACAATCACAGCAGTGCAGGGTGAAAAACACACATCTCACATAAACACTTCGGAGGCAACCTGAGTGCAAACCGCTGGAATTTGTGCGCAGCCCTGTTTGATCTGTAGAGCTTTGTCTGACAGCAGGCTGCTGAGGAGCTTCCCTTCCTTTCCTAGTGAAGTATCACAATAATCAACATTCTTCTTTAGAATAAGATTAACAAAAGAAAAAAACATTAAAAAAAAAAAAGTCTGATGTTTGATAAGGAAGCTGCTGGGCTGGCAGACTGTGGAGCCTTAAGCCAAGGAGGTGAGCAGGGATTCACTCTGTTCCACAACAGCCCTGGGTGATGTGTCTGGCTCCAGGGGAAGGAAGTGAGCATTGTCTGCATTATGGAGGCAGAGATTTCTGTCAGGTCTGCAGGGTAGGGCAGTGATGAGGCAAAGTTAGTCTGTGATGCTTTGCAGGAGGAAATAAATAAGGCGGAAGCCTCACCTTTAAATGAATCACCTCTGCTGAATACAGTTCCTTGCCTCTCTCCAGAAAAGGGCTCTGAACTGAATCTTGGCCTTTTTCTCATATTACTGGCTTTGTTTAAAAGCTGCATTACAATATTTAAGTATTATTTTTAGACCTGTCTGTCGTGTGACCTTTTTTAACCATTCCCTAAGCTAACTGTTTGGTTTTCTTTCTTCAGCGTGGGTTCAGAATTCTTACCAAGTTTGAGCTGGGAATTTCATTTTGTTTCTGATAGCGGCAGCCACGCCTGCAAAGATCAGCTGTTAGGAGGTGATGCACTCACTGGAACATCTCTCAAGGCAGCTGTATAATCCTGCAGAATGGCTGGATGTCACAGAGTATTTGATTGGGAAGCAAAGTTCCAATGTTTGAGGTTCAGTTTTCCCTGTATATCTAGTCTGAACGATGTATGTGTAAGGCTGAGCACCTAGGTTAGTCTTCTGAAGGTGGGCAGGCACGTGGTCAGAGCTCTGGCTGTGTTACCATGTACCCTGCATCGTCCTGTAGATGTTGTTGAAGCCATCGATTGCTCTTTGATGTAAACTGCTCCAAAATTCCCTCCCACAGCTGGTATCCAACAGCAAGGGAGCTGGTTTGAGCTTGAGATTGAAGGAAAGGAAGGCTATCAGCCATCAAAGCAAGCGTGTCTGCCCTCCTTGCTCCACATGGATGCTGCCTGTTGGATTGCACTCCATGCCTGAGCTCACCCCTCTGCATCAGCGAAGCACAGCAGCTGGGGCATGATGGTGTGTTAGTACACCTCCAGTTTTCCCTGTCTGTGTCCCCGTGTCATTGGAGAGCTGAGGTAACATTCATCTCAAGAGTCCAGCTTAATGGTAAATCTGCAACTCACCTTGAGATTTTCTCTCTGTACTGACTTACGTGATAGCTGTGTGGCAACACCTTTCAGTGCAGTTGGTTCTGTTATGTAAAAAGCTGTGGGTAATTCTTAACAGCTTTATGAGTCTGAAACCAGCCCAGCTCCATGCTGGCTACCTGCAGGAGCACCGTGCTGTGCAGCCAGATGTGTTTGCTGGGGCTGTGCCGTTCTCTTTCTTCTGACTCTTCCTTTTGTTGTCCTTCGTCTGGGCTTGTAGAAGGTGGGTGGGGAGTAAGCTCTCACATGCCTTCAGATGCTCTGTGGGATGGGAATTATTTCTTGTGTAAGGTCTTTGGAGACCGCAGCACTCTGCAGCCCTTGTTTGAAATCTGAAGGCATCTCTGAAATGCTAACATTTATTTTTAAGTCTACTAAAAATGGGCATGGATAACACCAAATGAAAAAGGAGGTAAAATGGGCTGAGCAGAGGGAGGTGGTAAGGATCAGTAATAGCTGTGTGTTTGTAAAAACAATAGCAGAAGTAAGCAAACAAAACCCTTCCCCATCAGGGCAAAGGGCTGGAACTAAGAAAAGTCTGATTTCTCCCCAGTGAAGGCTGAGAGAAGGTGCTGTCAGTTTGAAGCTGTACCATCATTTAAAGGCAAAATAGCAAAACCGGGCACCCAAAGCTTCAAGATCCTGTCTTAGACGTGAAGTCTCCAGATAGAGAAACGAGGCTGTCAAATCCACACACTGTTTAATAAAAGTGTTATTCCTCCCCTTTAGGAAGCTGTTTGACTGGACATGGGAAAGAGTTCACACTGACAGCATGCAACATTTCCTAGCATCCTTGTAGCAGGCAATTTATTGTGAGCCCACCTCTGCTGTCCGCTCCCGAGGAAGAACCCTCCAGCAGCAGCGGGTGCAGCGCTGCTCAGTTCCTACACTCACCAGTCTCTTACCTTTCTCATCTAGCCGTGTCCTGTAACAGCAATGGGTTAAAAGAAAATGAGACGGGGCTGACAGCGTCCCTCTTAAGTACAGGAGGGCCAACTTGAAATCAATCCACCGCATGCTAACTCAGCAATGCGAGGAACGCGGGGCGGCAGTAACACGATCGGATCTGCTCAAACCACCGAGCCAAAGTGGTGCTGTGCTCAGAGGGGCTGTGAGGGACCGGGTGCTTGTTTCCAGAGATCGTGGCCGTGGAGGGTGGAGGAGAGCAGGGAGAGGGTCGTCAGCCCATTGGGTGCTGGTGGCCAGCATGGCTCAAGGGAAGTAAACCCTCGCTGCAGAATGCCTCTGAGAAGTCAAAGAAAGAGGCAAATTGCCCAGAGGTACCATTGTGACTGAGAGAATTATGTTGAGATTGACATGGAGTCGTGGGGCATAAAGTGTTTGGTATCAAAGAAGGTTTCCCTGGGTTGTCTGCTGGTGTCTGCGTTCCCCTTTGCGGGAAGGGGTGAAGTATGCGAGCTGCATCTTCCCACTCTGCCCCTTTCAGATACATTCAGGAGAGGCAAAGAATGCAGTTAAAGCCAGCAGCCCACACAGCCTGGTGCGAGTAACAAACATCGGCAGAAAATTGTGCTGTGAAATCAAAGGGGAGCTTCTCAGTGCT